AGTTCTACAGAAAATTATGCGCCTTATTATTTGCTTTACGGTGAAACTGACATACATATATAGATCGTATTATAATATATATTTACTTAACCGAAAAACAAAAAGAATTTTGTATATTTATATACAAATAAGAGCTTATAAAAAAGTTTCAATATACAATACGTCAGAGTTATTTGCGAAATTCAATTACACAGGTGTGCTAATTTTCAAATATTTACAGAATATGTCGAAAATGAAGAGATTTTTTGGAAGAAATTGGGTATAAAAACACCGGTTATTGAAGTAAAATTCACACTCATCCACAAGTTCCTAGTTATCGTATATTAGGGTGTAATATATTAATAACGAAATGGCGAAGTTATCGAAGTTCCTGTATATTGCCATTTTGGCCATGGCATTCTTTGCTGTAGTAAACTGTGGGGAAGACAATGAAGGCGACAAAAAGGGTTATGAAGAAACAGGCGCTGGTAACTCAACAGTTGAAGAAACAGGCGCTGGTAACTTAACAGTTAATGAAACAGGCGCTGGTAACTCAACAGACTCTGATAACTTAAAAGGCTCTGGACAAAAAGATGATTCAGAAGCCAATGAAGGAGAAGACAAAGAAAGTAAACATCTTTCAAAAATTAGTGAACTTGTGGATAAATTGCATAAATTGATAAAAGGAAAAGGGAAAGCAAGTGGAGGCAAGAACAACGATGGAAATGAAAATGGCTCAGGTGAAGAAAGCGGATGTAAAGGTGGCAAAGTTTTGAAGAGAAAAGGCAAAGGACTACTAGAATGTGTTGGTGACAACAAAAACAAAAGAATGGGAGATGACTGAAAGAAGAAATCTCAGTAGACGCCAAAAAAAATGTCCAACGAATACCCGACACAGTGCCATGGAAAGGAACCCGTCAACGATAAACGATGATTTTTAAGTATTTCAATATGTATTTTATAAAAGAATATCTTCAATATTTTCAAGTTTAATGTTTCTCGAAATAATAATTCTAATAAATTGTAAAATAAGCAGCATAAAATAATTGTAATTTCCTTTAGTAAACGGTGTCAATGCGATGTACTGTATAAAACTACACTAATAATAACCATTTTTTACTAATACATACGCAGACGAATGCAATCAAAAGAGACTTAAATCTGCTTTAGTGTGTTGTCGTGTTAAGTTCATTCATTTTGTAATATTTTTCAATTATTGAAATTCTTAAATATTAAATTTACATAGTTTTGATCAAAATATTATTAAATGCTCAAAATACTATACATTTAGAGCTAAATATGGAGATAGATTATAGCAGCTTTCTACACAAAATTGCTTTCGTTTAATTTTGCGGTTACTTGTATCATAAATATTTTAAACAACATAAATGTTTAATGCCCTTGCCAATGTTTGATGGTGGTATTACTAAATAAGGTTTCTTCTTCATTTTAGAAAATCAATATTGTAAATGCCAGGTAGTAAAATCACCACCTGAATTAAATATTATGAATTTAATCATGTTTCATGCTTGTTTTTATGATAGCGATGTGAAGTTTTACATCCCAAGTAGCTGCTCATTTGTCGGAACAGCCGATATCGGATCACCATAGCATATTGCTTCCATACAAACCGACCGATCAAGATTAAGTCAAATTAAGTTAAGTAAGGAACATTTTGTTTTAGTAAAGGATATTTATGTTTGTTCAATTATTTCCAATAGATTGATTTAGAAGTGTATATAATATATGAACAAAAATAGGCCTGCTGTGGAACCGAACACCCAAAAAATATCAGTAACGTGTCTACATTGCAACCTAAGAGGTGGTGAGGAAAAGCAATAAATATGCAATAAACTTTTGTTTCTAAAATATTCGTATAAGTTTTCATTAATATTTGCCATTAAAAATACATAAAGGCGAAGTAGTGTTCAGTGGGTAATTGGACACAAAAATTTTCACAAAATTTCCGTGAGTGTATGAATAATTACTTGTAATGAATATTTAAAAATTTCGTATAACTTTGCAAACTTAAGGCAGAGAAATCTTATATAGTCTAGCAATTTAGACAATAAGTTATTCATATACATATACACATATATTTTGGATCAGGTTACAGAAAACGAAAACTGAATTATTTTTTTTACTTCATATTTGCGTTTACATATATGTTGTTACGTTCAAATATACACTTTTTGAAATTTTACAAAAATTAAGATTTAAGAAGCTTTGGGTTCTGCGGCACAGAGATTAGTCAAAATTCGAGATTTTGCTCCAATCTTTTTCAAAGTGGACCCAATTCGAATTGAGTAAGGTTCACATCATAGTTGTGTTGAAGTCTATGAAGTAGTAAGAGTTGTTTAAGTGTAATGAAGTAATAAGAGTTAGTTATTTCAAAAGTTTTAAGTTAATTTGGAATTTAAAAAAAGTAGTATTTTCTACCATCAGGAATTTAAGTAATGTTTTCGTTGCTATCTTTTGGGTCATAACGAAGCACCTTTAAGTCATTGCGGCTATATTGTAGGTGACGATACACCTGATTTAGAAGGGACACGCCTACTTTTTACTGGTGTGTATAAGCTTCATTTAGGTTATTATTAGCATATAAGCATGTCTTTCTTTCTTGTAGGTAATCTATTGGGAAAAGTAAAAGTATAAATCCCTGAGAAGTTGAAGGCTGAACGAAATGAGACCTATTTTACCGCAATTTCAAACAAACATAAAATCAACTATTAGCTAACTGATTCGCCATTTCTCAGCTCACTATCTTTGCGCGCTGCTCTCTTGTCAAAAAAATTACGTGCAAAAGCAACAGCAAAGTTATCGAGTTGGATTTAAGAGCATATCCGGAATATTCCATTCATCTGCAAACACCAAACATTCGACTGCTGCTTACTTTCGGGCATATACAAGTAATAGCTCAAATAGTTACCGACATTCCTCCCTTCTGTACTTACCGCCCGTATCAAACTAAATTTGTCAACAGTTATGCCCGTAGTTCACTCGTTCCTACGGGAAAAATAAAATTTCCGCGGATATCCTACCGTAAGGTTTGTGGTAAGCGGGCGGTAGTGGCGGTGGTGACTGTTCATTTACATTGCGCTCTTATAAGATAGGTCGTATCAGCTGATACGGTCCACAGTTCTGCGACGGTGACTGATTTTGAACTATAAATCTAAGATTCACGATGTTATAAACATGTTTTGAAGCACCGCTATCGTATTATATTTCTCCATTTCTCTCGACCAGTCGACACGAGTCTTTTTTGAGCGATTGACATTGACATTTTTTTGCTTTTAATGCCTATAGTTAACTCAATCTCACCACAGGTCACAAGACGATCTTGCTATATCAGTTTGCGCACAGCATCAATTGTTTCCGGAACAAAAACTGATTTTTGATGACCTTTACAAAATTCGTTTTGAAGCGATCTACTACCCCGATTCACCATACCATCTACAAACACTGATCCTTGATAGAGCTCCATCGCTAAAAATTGAATTAATTTCATAGATGCACTGTCCACCACCTCGAAGCTTGTAAAAAATAATTACACGAAAATGTTCGCGATTTAATTTATTGTTTCTTTGCCGAGATGAATATTAATATTTTAAGTTACTGTAAACAACCCAAATAGCGCTCGTATGTCAAAACAGTCTAGGTATGTATAACATCAAAAATGTTAAACTTTACAACAAAGTTATTAGCTGCAAGATTGCAACACCAGGGTTGCCAAATCTTCGCTATCTTCAATACTACCAAGTTTTGTTTTGTATATTTCAGATCAATTTTTGAAATAAACCTTGACACTTAAAATCAACTATAATAGTTTATACCAAAGGAAACTAAAGGGTTACTTAAACGTTTTCTGACGCGGAAAAAATTATTTCTCATTTAAATTCAGCGTTGCACCTCAAGTACTGTCCGTTTGTTTGAACAATGTAGTTAAGTTTGTTCGAATCACCAACGTCTGGCGAATAGAAGACAGCTATTACAAGACTCAGCAATAAGGGCGATACAAATTTTAAGTATAAGTTTATGTTAAATTTTAAATTTATGAAATTAGGAAATTAGATTTATTTACTTAGTAAAGTGTTATCTTCTCAAAGTTCTTTTTCTTATTTTGTAATTTGCTCACTTGGTTACTGATCTCTGAAATTTATTATTTCTCTTTAATTACAAAACAACAACAATATACTTTTCGACACATTAGGCAGTCAGCCATGAAACATTTTTTGAAGATATCTCGCCAAGTGAAAGTTTTTTTTACAAGCACTCGATTCCGATTGTTAGCTTGTATGGCGGCTATGGGTATGTTATAGCATTCTGATATTGGTAGTTCGGAAAATTGAACAGCTTCTTGAGGAGAAGAGGACGGTTGCGCAATTTCAAATATATTATCTCTTAATATATATGTATATTAAAAACGGAGGCGGAGGTACGCGTATATACAGACAGACGGTCAGACGGGCATGGCTAAATCGACTCAGTTCGTCGTACTGATCATTTATGCACATATACTTATATTTTATAGGGTCTTCGAAGTTTCCTTTTGGGTGTTACGAACTTCGTGGCAAATTTTCTAAACCCTGTTCAGGGTACAATATTATGGTGGGCATAATATCATCGCTTTTAGAGTTATGCTGAAATTTGGTCCGCCCAATGGTGAATTTTCATTATTTATTAAACATTTACGACAATCAGTCAGTTTTTTATTTTACGGTGAAACTGACATATATAGATCGTATTATATATTTACTTAGCCGAAAATACAGAAACAATTTTGTATATTTATGTACAAGTAAGAGCTTATAAAACAAGTTTTAATCTGCAATATTAAAGAGATATTATTGAAATTGAATTGCACAGGTGTGCTCATTTTCAAATATTTACATAAAATGTCGGAATTGTAGAAATTTTTTGGAAGAAATTGGTTATAAAAACACCGGGGATTGAAGTAAAATTCACACTTTTCTATGAGTACGTAGATATCGTATATAAGGGTGTACCATATTAATAACGAAATGGCGAAGTTATCGTCGTTCCTGTATATTGCCATTTTGGCCATGTCATCTTTTGCTGTAGTGAACAGTGAGGACTACGATTCGAATGGAGCTGGAAATTCAACAGACTCCGGTAACTCAACAGGCTCTGTTAACTCAACAGACTCTGGTAACACAACAGGTCCTAGTAACTCAACAGACTCTGGTAACTCAACATCCTCTGGTAACACAACAGGTCCTGGTAATTCAACAGACTCTGGCAACTCAACAGGCGCTGGTAACACAACAGACTCTGGTAACACAACAGCTCCTGGTAACTC